GATGCTGATGGACTTGGAGCGGGCCAAGTTGCTCCGGCGCCGCTCGGCCGCGCTGGGCAGCGAGAAGGAGGCGCTGCCGGGCACCGCCGGGGCCCCCCCGGGCACCCTCACGCCGTGGTCGCCCTTCACGGGGCCCCGGCGGCCCCCCGGCCCGCGGGGGGGGGCGGCTGGGGGGGGGTCCCCGCGTTTGGCCGCCCGGCCCCGCTCCGGATCCAGCTTCTTGGGCCCGCGGGGAGGGGGTTCTTCGGGGGGCGGCGGCGGGGGCGGCCGGGGGGGCAGCAGGCGCAGTTTGGGGGCCGGGGACAGCCCGTTGGGGGCCGCATGGCGCTCCTGGCTCAGCGCCCGGTGCCCACCGCTGGGCAGGCGGGCACCCCCCGCCCGGGGCTGCGCCGTCACCACGGCGGTGCCCGCGGCGGCGTCCCTGGCGCGGCCCAGGCGGTGCTCCGAGGCCTGGGGCATGGCGGGGCCTGCGGGGACACGGGGAGGGTGTCACGGGGGGCAGCGGGATGGGAGGGGGGCAGCGGGGAGGGCAAAGAGGGGCGGGGGGCACTCACCGACCTGCTCACAGCCCCCCGCGCCCGGCGGCCGGACACAGCGTCCCGTCGGCGGGGGCCCTGCAGGATTGGGGGGGGGACAAGGGGTCAACGGGGGGGTTGGGAGGAACCCCAGGTTTGGGGGGACACCCCTAGACCGGTGCCAGGCTCCTGGGGAGTCATGGAAAGGTTTGGCATGGTCGGGAGCTCCGCCCACCCCAAGCCGGGTGCTGCTCCCCAGGGGGGTGGGACAGGGAGAAAAGGGGGGATCCCCAGGCCCCCTCAATGAGCCCCAGGGACCCCCCAGGCTCGGGGGGACCCTCGACCCTCCTCACTGAGCCCCAGGGACCCCCCAGGCTCGGGGGGACCCTCGACCCTCCTCACTGAGCCCCAGGGACTCCCCAGGCTTGGGGGGACCCTCCGAGGTCCCTCCTGGGGGGATGTTCAGTGCCCCTCTACCCCCACAGCCCCCCGGCCCTGTTCCCTAACTCATCACCACGGCCCACCCTCCCCTCCCGCCGGGGCCTTGCCCGCTACCCCCCTCCCAGTCCGGGGATCCCCTCCCGTGGGATTCCCGCTGCCCCCGACCCCCCGCAGCCCCCAGACCCCCTCAGGCCTTGTCCCGCCTCCATCACCCCTCTGGGCCCTGCCCCGCACCCTCCACCGGGGCCCAGGGTGCCCATAGGGGGGGTGTCCGTTACCCCCGAGCCCCCCCACCCCCGTAGCCCCTCCAGGACCCCCCCCGAGTCCCGCAGGCCTTGTCCTCCCTCCATCCCCCCGGTCCCCCCCCAGACCCACCGGGGCCCTGCCCCGCACCCTCCACCAGGCCCCAGGGTGCCCACAGGGAGGGTATCCGCCTCCCTCGAGAACCCCCGGCCCCGCAGCCCTTCCAGGACCCCTTCGAGCGCCCCAGGCCTTCTCCCCCCTCCATCACCCCGGTGCCCCCCCACCCCCCGGGGCCCTGCCCCGCACCCCCCACCCGCCCGCTGGGTGCCCATAGGAGGGGTGCCCGTTACCCTCGAGCTCCCCCCAGTCCCGCAGCCCCCCCAGGACCCCTCCCGGGCCCCCCCGGGTCCCCCCGCACCTCCCGCGGGCCGCCATGGCAACAACTCCCGCCGCACCCGCCGCCATCTTTGTTCCTCCCTTGCCCGGCCCCGCCCCCGGCGGCCTCACCGCCCGCTCTGCGCATGCGCCGCCCCCCGCGGTCACGCCCCCAACCGCCGACGTCGCCATGGAAACCGCGCGGCGTCTTAAAGGCGCCGCGCCCGCGACTGCCGCGGGTGTTATTGTAGGGTCGCGCGCGGCGGGAGGACCCCCCTACACCCACACCGCGGGTGTGGGGGACCCCGCGACACCCCCAGGACAATAAACGGGGGCAAAGTCAGGGCTGAAATGTTTATTGGGGAGCAGCAGCGAAGCGGCGGGGGAGGGGCGGGAGCAGCTGGGGAGGGGGTGGGGGGCACCCGAACCCCCCCCTCCTTGGTCACTTGTCCTTGTGCTGGATCATGCCTTTGGCGATGAGGTCGGGAATCTCCACGGCCAGCCAGGGCCCCAGCTGTGGGGACAGGGGGGACCCCCGGGGGGGGAGCACCCCCGCTCTGTGTCACCACCCCACCTGCCCGCCATGGGGGACACCCCCACCCTGTGTCACCCCACCCAACGAGTGCCAGCCCCCCCACAATGTCAGATCCTCTCCCCTCAGTATCACCCCCCACCCACCTCCAGGGGTGACACCTCCTACAGTGCCCCCCTCCTGGTGCCCCTCCATGGGTGACACCCCCCAATGTCCCCTCCCGGTGCCCCTCTAGGGGTGACACCCCCCCAATATCCGCCTCCGCTCACCCCCAGGGCCATCAGATGGGCCAACCCGAATTTGGGGACGTTCCTGGCCCAGAGGGGCTTGAAATGGTCACTCAGGCAGATCTTGCCCCCCCTGGGAGGGTAAAAAGGAGCTGTCAGACCCCCCCTCCAGGTCCCTCCATTCCCCAGGAACCCCCCCCAGCCCTGAGACCCTCCCCAGGACCCCCCAGCCCCAGAACCCAACTCCCCAGGACCCCCTTGGCCTCATGATCCCTTCCAGGACCCCCCCCTCAAAATCTGGGCCCCCTCAGGACTCCCTCCCTCTCAGGACTCCCTCCCCAGCCCCAGGACCTGCCCCGCCCCCCCCCCCAAACCTCCTGGCGTCAGGATCTCCTGCAGGACCCCCTCCCTGAATTCTGGGCCCTCCCCCGGGACCCCTTTGGCCTCAAGATCCCCTTCAGGACCCCCCCCCCCGAATTCTGGCCTCCCCTCAGGACCCCCCCTCTCCCCAAATCCCACCTGTACATCTTGGCCGTCTTCCCGTCCAGCTCCGGGATGGCGATTTCGGGGGCGGTTCCAGGGTAGGTCACCGGGATCTGAGGGGGTCCAGGGGGGTCTCAGCAACCACCAGACCCCCTCCCCAACCCCCACTCCCCTCCACGACCCCCCCCTCACCTCAAACTCGATGGCAAACTCGTACTTGAGCAGCTCATGGATGTACCAGCACCTACCGAACCACCTGAGGCACAGGGGGGGGAACAGAGACCCCCTCAGTCCCCAGGGACCCCCCCCCAATCACCAAAGCAGCCCCCTCCAGACCCCCCCTGTCCCTCAGTCCCAGGGACTCCCCCAAACACCAGAACAACCCTCCCAGGGCCCCCTCAATCCCAGAGACCTTCCCAATCACCTGAGCAGCCCCCCCAGGGCCCTCCCATGTCTCTCAGTCCCAGGGACCCCCCCCTTCACCAGAACAGCCCCCCCAGAGGCCCAGAAACCCCCTCAGTCCCAGGGACAACCCCCCCATCACCAGAGCAGACCCCCAAGGACCCCCCCATATCCCTCAGTCCCAGGGACCCCCCTAATCACCAGAACAGCCCCCCCCCAGGCCCCCCCATGTCCCTCAGTCCCCAGGGATCCCCCCCTAATCACTGCAGCAACACCCCGAGGGGCCCCCCCAGCCCCTAAAACCCGGGGACACCCCCCCGGGTCACCAGAGCAGCCCCCCGGCACCCCCTCCGGGGCTGGGACCCCCCCCTCCCTCAGAGTGGTCTGGGGAGGGGGGACACCCCCGGTGTGAACCCCCAGATCCCCCCCCCCCGGTCGCCCCGGGCGTTGGGGGTCCCGTGAGCCCCCCAGGGGTGGGGGGGGGGTCCCGGTGCCCCCCTTGGACCCACTTGGTGCCCTCGGGGTTGGACTCCAGGCGGAACCAGTCGTTGTCGGCCCGTTTGTTGTTCTCCACGTACTGGGGAGGGGGGACACGCGGGGGGGTCAGCGGGGGGGGGCACCGGGAGCGGGAGGGACAGCGAGGGGGACACGGGGAATGGGAGGGGGGTATTGGGGGGGCACTGGGGGTCATCAGAGAGAGGGACAGCGGGGGGGGACATCGTAGATGAGCTGAGGGAGTACAGGGTGGCGTTCAGGGGAGTTGGGCTGGGGGGAAAACCTGGGAGCGACACCGAGGGGGCTGGGGGGGGACCGCGAGTGATCGGGTCCGGGGACGGGGGGAAACCGGACGGGGGGCGCACACCTGGGGAGAGAGGGGAGGGGGCCACGGCTGACCTGTATGAGCGCCCGGTACTCCTCGCGCAGCCGCTCAACCCAGCCCTCGCGGTCCCGCGGCCCCGCCGGCGCCCGAAGCAGCGGCAGCTCCGCCACCGCCCGACGCGCCGCCGCCTCCGCCATGGCCGGGCCACGCCGCCATCACACACCCCCGCCGGAAGTGACGTCGGCCGCCGCCGAGCCCCGCGCCGCCATCTTGGGGAAGGGCCGGGGGGGGGGGGGGGGGGTGCCGCCATCTTGCGTAAGGGCACGCTCGGCCGCCGCCGCCATGTTTGGTGCTGGCAGGGATGAGGCTGTGGGGGCTCCGATGCCCTTGTGCCCCCCCTCCCAACGGCTGTAGAGACACCCACACCCCCCCAGAATCAGGGATCCCCCCGCAGCCTCAGGAACCTCTCCTGAGTCCCAGGCGCCGCGGGTGGGGAGATGCTGCCATGTTGACTAAGGGCACGCTCGGGGCGTGGCGCCGTCGCCGCCATGTTTAGTGCTGGCAGAAATGAGTTTGCGGGGACTCAGCTTCGTTCGTGCCCCCCCCCCGCCAACAACAACACCCTCCCGGGGGGGGTCCCACCGCCCCAGGGACCCCCCCACAGCACCAGGGACATCCGCCAACCCCACTGACAGACCCCCCCAGCATCAGGGGCCCCACCCCATCATAGCCCCAGAGACCATTCCATAGCCTCAGGGACCCCCCCAACAGCCCCAGGGACGCCCCCCAGCCTCAGGAACCCCTCCAGTCCCCCTGACAGCCCCCCACAGCCTCAGGGACCCCCCCGTCTCACTGACAGCCCCCCCCAGCATCAATGACAACCCTCTTCCCCCCAGCAGCAGGGAGCCTCCACCCCAGAACCAGGGACCCCCTGGTTTTATTGGGGGGTCCAATCCCACCACGAGGGGCTCAGGCTTTTATTGGGGAGCACAATGCCACAGTGGTGGGCTCAGGGCTTTATTGGGGGTCCATTGCCCGAAGGGTTCAGTGATGTATTCGGGGGTCCCATTTACGGGCTCAGGGCTTTATTGGGGGCCGTGCCCGGTGGTCTCGGCCCTCAGGCCTGCCCCTCGCTCTTGCCCAGGTCCAGCAGGGACGAGAAGAGCCCCAGGACGTTGCTCTTCAGCTCCTGTGCCAGCGGTGCCAGCTGCTTGTTGGCCCTGTCCAGGTACTGCCTGCGGGACGGGGGGCTGTGAGCAGGGCTGGGGGGCCTGGGGGGGTCCCCAGCCCCCCAGCTCCCCCAGGGAAGTGGAGTCTGGGGCCTGGGAAGGGAAGGAAGGGGGATCCAGGGGGTCCCAGGGTCCAAGAAAAGGGGCGTCTGGGGTCTGGGAGAGGAGGGATGGTCTGGAAAGGGGGAACGGGGGGGGGGGTGTTGGTGCAGGATAAGGGGGTGCAGGAGGGTCCTGGAGGTGGGAGGGGGGGGGTACAAGGGGGTCCCTGTGTGTGGAAATGGGGGTTCAGGGGGTCCCAGTGCCGGATAAGGGGGTTCAGGGAGGTCCTGGTGCTCAGGAATGGGGGTTCAGGGGGTTTCCCATTTCCAGGAATGGGCATTCAGGGGGGTCCTGGTGCCAGATAAGGGGATTCAGGGTGGCCCAGTACCAGATAAAGAGCTGCAGGGGGATCCCAGTGCCAGATAAGGAGGTGCAGGGGGATCCCAGTGCCAGATAAGGGGGTTCAGGGGGTTCCTGGTGCCAGATAAGGGGGTTCAGGGGGGTCCTAGTGCCCGGGTCAGTGTGTTCAGGGTGCCCCTGGGGATGGATACTCGGGCTGGCCCCCCGGGATGGGCCCCCCCGGGATGCCCCCCACACCCCCGTACTCGGCCTGGCTGCGGAGCTGCTCCGCCTGCAGCTTCTGGGGCAGCTCCCGGGTCATGAAGTCGCTCAGGGACTGGAAGTGGCGGCTGAAGAAGTCGGTGGCTTCGGGGGCGGCTTCGGGGGTGTCACCCTCGGGGGCCTCCCGTCGGACCAGGGCGGCCCCGAGGTGGGCACAGAGCAGGAGCAGGAGGGCGACCAGGGGGGCTCTCATGGCTGGGGGACGGGGGGGGACACGGGGCTGGGACATGGTGGGGGAGGGACCCCCAACTCCCAGTCCTGACCCACCCATGGCAGGGGTGGGACCCCCACAGGAGCTTCCAACCCCCCTATCCCACCCCATCCCAGCCCCACAGGGCCTTCCAACCCTACCCTGGCCCCACAGGACCTTCCAACTCCCCATCCCATCCCATTCCTAACCCATGGGGCCTTCCAATCTCATCCCACCCCATTCCACCCCATCCCTGACCCACAGGACCTTCCCACTCCCCATTCGACCCCACCCCGGCCCCACAGCCCCATCCCATCCCTGACCCACAGCATGGATGTCCCCTCCCTGCCCCATCCCTGTCCCATGGCCCCATTCCTGCCCCACACCCCCCTCTCCAGCCCCACCCGTGTCCCATCCCTGCCCCACAGCCCCATTCCTGCCCCATGTCCCCCTCCAGCCCCATTCTCCCCCCCCTTTCCTGTGCAAAACTCCCCTCCAGTCTCATCCCACCCGTCTCCCACCACATCCCACCCCATTCCAGACCCTACACCCCCGTGCCACCCCCTCTCACCCCCATCTCACCCCATTCCTGACCCCACACCCCCCATCTCATCCCACTCCTGACCCCACACTCCCCTCCCCGTTCCCCCCCCAGCCCCCGCTCACCTGTTCAGGGGCAGGTTCAGTTTTGGGGTCGCCCCTCGGCCCCGTTTATATCCCCCCGCAGCCCCCGCCCCCCCGGCTGGGCAAACACTGCGGGGCCGAGGGGACATCGCGGGGGGGCCCCTTGTCCCCCTCCCACCCCCGGGCTGTCCCCGTGTCCCCAAGGGCGGGGCGGGGGGGGACGCGATGGCCCCGCGGGGTTGGGCTGGGGGGCGAAGGTCGTCGCCCACCGTGTCACTGACCCTCGACCCCCCCGTGGGGGGACAGCGGGGACACCCCGGGCTGGGGACAAAGGGCGGGTGGTGGTGGCAGCGGGGACAAGAGGGCGGAGTCCCCCCTGGGCGCCGAGGGGCCCTGCCAGGACAGGGATGGGGACAGGGACGGGGGGGACAGGGATGGGGACAAGGGACAGGGACATGGGGAAGGTCCTGCGTGGGGTTGGGGGCAGAGGGGACACAAGGAGGGGACGTGAGGGACACGTGGGACACGGCCAGGAGGGGACGGGGAGGTGGGGAGGGGACAGGGGGACACGAGGGGACCAGGGATGTGGGGAGGGGACACGAGGAGGGACATGGGACAGAAGTGGGTTTTGGGGCAGGGGGGACATGTGACAGCAATGGGTTTTGGGACCGGAGTGGATTTTGGAATGGGGGGTCCAGATATGTGGGGAGGAGATAGGAGGGGACACGGGCCATCCAGGGATGCGGGGAGGTGACACAGGGGGGACATGGCGGGAGCAGTACACGCGGTGGGAGCGCGGGGAGGGGGGACGGGCAGGAATTGGGGACACGCGTGACACACGTGGGGGGGGGGCGGAACGCGGCAGCCCCGGAACGTCTCCGCGCGCGGCCGCGGGTCCCCTGAGGGGTCACATTCCACAGCAGCCCCGCCCCCCCGCTCGGCCAATGGGGCGGCGCGCTCTGCCCTCAGCCAAGATGGCGGCGGTGCCCCCCGTGAAGCCGCTCCGGGCGGCACCGCCCGCGGCCGCGATGGCGGCGGGCGGGGGGGGCCCGTAGGGGCCATGGGGAACGCGACCGGTCGGGCCCCGCGGCGGGGGGAGCCCCGCGGGAACCCCGGCAGCTTCGACGAGCTCCACCGCCTCTGCAAAGGTGCGCCCGGGGCACCGCGGCCACCGGGGAGGGGGCGCACGGCGCGGGTGAGGGGTCACCGGGGGTGGGGGACACTGGGGGGCATTGAGAGAGGGGGACACTGGGGGGCACTGGGGGCATTGGGGGGGACACACTGGATTTGAGGGGGCACCGGAGTTGGGGGGGATACCGGGGTTGAGGGGACACCCGGGGGGGGCACCGTGGGTGGGGGGTATTGAGGGGGGGACATTGGGAGGCACCGGGGGGCACCAGGACTATGGGGACACCAGGGAGGGGGGTGACACTGGGGCTGAGGGCACACTGGGGTCACGAGGGGTACTGGGGGCCAACAGGGTGTGGGGGATACCGGGGGTGGCAGCTGTGTCCCAAGGGGGGCTGCGGTGTCCCCAGGGGGGGCTCTGGGTGTCCCCAGGAGGTGACAGCCCTTTCAGGGGGGGCTGTGGGTGCCCTGGGGGGTGACAGCGGTGCCCTGGGGGGGTGACAGCCGTGTCCCCAGGGAGGTGACAGCCCTGTCTCCCCAGAGGTGTTCCCGCCGCAGATGGAAGGGGTGAAGCTGATCGTCACCAAGACCCTGAGCAGCCACTTCCAGGTCAGGGTGGGGGACACAGGGACTGTGGAGGGGGGGCTGTGACCCTCCCCCGGGCTGTCCCCTGACCCCCCCTGTCCCCACAGGTGACACACACGGTGCACATGAGCACCCTGGGCCCCTCTGGGTACCGCTTCAATGCCACCTTCGTGGGGGACCGGCAGCTCAGCCCCACCGAGGTGACAACGCGGGTGGCACTGGGGTGGCCCCGGGGTCCTTGATGGCTTGGGGTGGCCCCAGGTGACCCTGGGACGGTTGGTGATCCCATATCCTGAGGGTCTTGGGTGACAGGTGGTCCTGGGGTGGCGGGTGGTCTCAGAGTGGCTCTGGGTGGTCTCAGGGTGGTGAGTGACCCCAGGGTGGCCAGTGGCCTTGGGGTCATTGGTGGCCTTGGGATTCTGGGTGGTCCTAGGTGACCCCAGGGTGGTTGATGGCCTTGGGGTCATTGGTGGCCCTAGTGTTGTGGGTGGTCCCGGGTGGCCCTGAGGTGACCCCAGGGTGGTTGGTGGCCTTGGATCATTGGTGGCCTCAGGGTCATTGGTGGCCCTGGGGTTGTGGGTGGTTGCAGGTGACCCCAGGGTGGTTGATGGCCTTGGGGTCATTGGTGACCTCAGGATCATCGGTGATGGTGATGCCCCACAACGGGAGCGTTTGGGTGACACCAAAGTGCCACCAGCCCAGATGGGGACATTCCCTCCCAGCCCAGCGCTCCCAGCCAGGGCTGGGAGGGGGTGTCCCCGTCCCCCCTGACCCCCCCCTTCCCCCATGGTGTCCCCAAGGTGTTCCCCACCCTGGTTGGGGACATGGACAGCGCCGGGAGCCTCAACGCGCAGGCCCTTCACCTGCTCGGAGAGCGGCTGCGGGTCAAGGCCGTGTTCCAGGTGAGCCTGGGCGGGGTGGAGGGGTCACACCCAGCCAGGGGGGTCTCTAGCGACCCTCCCTCCCCCCCCCCGTGTCCCCTGTGCCCCCGCAGAGCCACCAGGCCAAGTTCGTGACGTGGCAGTTCGACGGCGAGTACCGCGGCGACGACTGCACGGCCACGCTCACGCTGGGCAACCCCGACGTGCTGGGCGGCTCCGGTGAGCTGGGAGGGGCTTCCCCCCCCCCTCACCTTCCTCCATAACCCCCCCGTGGCCCCCCCCCTCCCCGCCACGCTGAGCCCGGGCCGTCCCCCGTGCTGTCCCCGCAGTGATCGTGGTGGCCCATTTCCTGCAGAGCGTCACCGCCCGCCTGGTGCTGGGGGGGGAGCTCGTGTACCACCGGCGCCCCGGCGAGGAGGGGGCCATCCTCACGCTGGCGGGCAAATACACGGGTAAGGGGGCACCCCGGGGGGGATGCCACCCCTCCCTACAAGTCTGGGGACACCCCAGCACTCCTGTCCACCCCCCCCCCACCTCGTGCTGTCTGTCTCTGTTGCAGCCCCTAAGTGGGTGACGACGCTCAACGTGGGCTACGGGGGGGCCCACGCCAGCTACTACCACCGGGCCAACGAGCAGGTGGGTGCCCGCCACGGTGTCCCCACGGTGCCCCCACGGTGTGCCCGTGCCCCCCTGACCTCTGTGCCCTCCCCTCACCCAGGTACAGGTCGGGGTGGAGCTGGAGGCCAACACGCGGCTGCAGGAGACGACCTTCGCCTTCGGGTACCAGCTCAACCTGCCCCGCGCCAACGTCGTCTTCAGAGGTGGGCGAGGCCCCCCTTATCCTGGATGGCACCCACTCTGTGCCCCCCTCCTGGTGCTCACCCCCCTCATCTCGTGCCCCCCCCCCCCCCCAGGGCTCCTGGACAGCAATTGGAGCGTGGGGGGGGTGCTGGAGAAGAAGTTGCCCCCCTTGCCCGTCACGCTGGCCCTGGGCGCCTTCCTGAACCACTGGAGGAACCGGTTCCACTGCGGCTTCAGCGTCACCGTGGGCTGAGGGCACGGGGGGCACAGTGGGCACGGGGGGCACGGGGGGCACTGTCCTGCTCAGGGAGCTGCCGGGCCTGGCCCCGGGGGGGCCACAGGGACGCCGCGGCCTTGGGGACACCGTGTGACAGCACGGGGGGGGGCCCGTTGTCCCCCGTGCCACCGTGTGGGGGTGGCTGCTGTGGGTCCCTGGGTGGGGGGGCCGGGGGTCCCCGTTGTCCCCACGGTGCCACCCGGCCGTGCCTCAGTTCCCCCCCCCAGGTGACACACGGGCTGGCTCCGGGGGGGCCTGGTTAAATAAAGGAGCTTTACTCTGTCCCCCGTGGTGGCACTTGGGGACCGGGGGGGCACCGCCCCGGCGGGGGGTCAGCTGATGATCTCGGAGAGCAGGGGGGTCATGGAGGACAGGTCGTGGATGTGCAGGATCTGCCGCGTGTTCTCCACCTTCAGCGTCTGCAGCTCCGTCAGCAGCAGCAGCAGCTTCGGGTACAGGAACCTGGGCAAGGGGGGGGTAAGGGACACGCCTGGTGGCTGTCCCTGCCACCCCTGGGGACGCTGCCACCCCCCCTCTGGGCACCCACCTGCCCTCGGGGTGCCGGTGGTCGATGTAGCTCTTGAGGGTCAGGGCCACCTTCTCCTGGAACTGGTCGATGAGGTCGCGCTGGGCGATGTCGGCGTGGCCTGGGGGGGGGTGAGGGGACATCAGCGGGGCCCCAGGGGACACCCAGCCGTCCCCCCGTGCCCCCCAGTGTGGCACCCACCTGGGGAGAAGAGCAGCAAGGCCTGGAGCAGGGTGTACTCGGCCTCGTGCAGGTGCAGCCGCCTCAGGCTCTCGTGGAACTTGAGCAGCGGCTCCAGGTAGACCTGCTGGAACCCGGCTTTGGGGGGGCACAGGGGGGTGACAGGGTGACCCGGGAGGGGCACAGGGCCGTCCCCACGCCCCCCAGGCGTCCCCCAGGTCCGTACCCAGTGCCCCGTCGCGGATGGTGTAGCAGTGCTGGCCGCACTCCCACACCTTGGTGTTGGCGTTGAAGACGGTGTTGAAGCGGATCTGGCAGATCTGCAGCGTGGCCCCTTTCAGCAGCGAGATCTGGGTGTCCACGGGCAAACTCCTGGGGGGTGGGGGGGGGCGCGAGGGGACGTCACCAGGGTGGCACAGGATGGCCCCAGCCCCGTGTGTGCCCCCCAAACGCGCCCACCTGAAGACGGGGATCTCCTTGGCGAACTTGATGACCTGCTGGATCATGAAGGTGCTCATGTCGGCGAAGTGGGGCAGCATCGAGAACACGTCGGGCAGCACGTCCTCCGTGGGGGGTGGCAGAGGAGGGGGGGACCCCCCCGCGGCCACCCCCGGCCCGGGGGACCGGGGGATGTACAGACGCACGGCGGGCTGGGGGGACAGGGGGACAGTCAGGGTGGGGGGGGCACATGTGGGACAGGCAGGGTGCACGTGGGGACAGCTGGGATACCCACGGGGACGTTTGGGACACCCGTGGGACAGTCAGGGTGCACGTGGGGACAGTTGGGACACCCGTGGGACAGTCAGGGTGCATGTGGGGACAGTTGGGACACCCACGGGGATGTTTGGGACACCCGTGGGACAGTCAGGGTGCACGTGGGGACAGCTGGGACACCCACGGGGATGTTTGGGACACCCGTGGGACAGTCAGGGTGCACGTGGGGACAGTTGGGACACCCGTGGGACAGTCAGGGTGCATGTGGGGACAGTTGGGACACCCACGGAGACAGATGGGGCACCCATGGGGACAGTTGGGTCACCCACAGGGACAACTGGGACACCCGTGGGGACAGTCAAGGTGCACGTGGGGACAGTTGGGGCACCCATGGGGACAGTTGGGGTGCACATGGGGACAGTTGGGGTGCACATGGGGACAGTCAGGACACCCAAGGGGACCCCAGGGCACCCACGGGCGCAGCTGGGTCACCCACAGGGATGGGCAGGGCCCCCATGGGGACAGTGGGGTCACCTGTGGACCCCTGGACACCCACAGGGACAGTGGGGTCACCTGCAGGGACAGCCAGGCCACCCGTGGGCACAGTGGGGTCACCCGTGGGCACAGTGGGGTCACCCGTGGGCACAGTGGGGTCCCGGGAGCCCCCCCCTCACCCAGTAGTGGGCGAACTGGGAGAAGCTGGAGTCGAAGGTTCGCTGGTGGGCGGCGATGAGGAGGTCGATGAGCTCCTGCTGCTCGGCCGTGAGCCCCTCGGGCTGTGCCCCGGGCTGTCCCCCGGGCTGTCCCCCGGGCTGTCCCCCGGGCTGTCCCCGCTGTTCCCGCAGCGCCCGCCGCCGCCGCAGCGCCTCCTCCGACATGATCACTGCCCGCGGCACCGTCACCGCCGCCACCCCCGCCACGGGCACCGGGGGCGGCGGCGACAGCGACCAGAGGCACCGGCCCCCCCGTCCCCACCCTGCGCACCCCCCCGCTGCCCCCTCTGTGACCCGTCCCTTGCTGTCCCCTCCCCTGCCACCCCACCCAGGCCGCTCCTCTCTGTCCCGGGTCCCCCCTTGTCCCCCCCCCAGGTCCTCCCTCTTCCCCCCGGGCGTCCCCCGTGTCCCCCCGCTGTCCCCGTGCCGTGTCCCCCCCTCCTCCCGGCTGTCCCCTGTGTCACCCCCTCCCTCCCTCTGTCCCATGACCCCCCCTTGTCCCCTCCTCATCCCCTTTATCCCACCCAGGTGCTGCCCCTCTTCCTCCTGGGTCTCCCCTGGGTCCCTCCATCTCTGCCACCCCCTTGCTGTCCCCGTGCCGTGTCCCAGCTGTCCCCCGTGTCACCCCGTCCCTCCCTCTGTCCCAGGTCCCCCCCCTTGTCCCTCCAGGTCCCCTTTATCCCCCCATGTCCCTCCCTTCTCCCACAGTGTCCCCACTGTGTCCCCCCATCCCCTGACCCCCCGGGTGTCCCCCCGTGTCACTCACTGTCCCTCCTCATGCCCACGTCGAGGCACTTCTGGAGGCGACAGGCCTGGCACTGCCTCCTCTTGGCCTTGGTGACGGGGCAGCGCCGGGCCAGGGGGCAGCTGTACCGGACCCCCTTGAGGATGGAGCGTCTGGGGGGACACTGACACTGTCACCGCGTGTCCCCGGGGGGGCACAGGGTCACCAGGAGCTGGGGGCGTCACCACTGTCACCTGGACTCGCTGGGTGACCCCGTGCTTGTGCCACCCAGTCCCCCCCAGTCCGTGGGACTGTCCTGTGCTGTCCCTTCTCATCCCATCCCAGTTCATCCCGGCCCATCCCACCCCGTAGTGTCCTTTTACATCCTGTCACCCCCTGTCCAGCTTGTCCCCTACTTCCCCCCACCATGTCCCCTCATCCCACCCCATTTCTTCCCATCCCATCCCATCCCATCCCATCCCATCCCATCTTGTCCCCACCTCACCCCACCCTGTCCCCTTGTGCCATCCCATCCCACTCTCCCCATCCCATCCTGCTCATCCCATCCCACACCGTCCCTTTGTCCCACCCCATCCCCTCCCCTCCCCTCCCCTCCCATCCCATCCCATCCCATCCCATCCCATCCCATCCCATCCCATCCCATTCCCGCCTCATCCCCCCTTTCCCCCCCCCCATCCCCGGTGCCCCCCCGGTGCCCCCCACCTGAAGAAGCCCTTGCAGCCCTCGCAGCTCAGCACGTGGAAGTGGTACCCGTTGGCCCTGTCCCCGCACACGGCGCACACCTTGTCCTCGGTGGGCTCCGGGTCCCCTCCCGGCTCCGGGTCCCCTCCCCGCTCCGGGTCCCCCGGGGGGTCGCGGGGTCCCTGCGGGGGGCGGGGGCTGCGCTCGGAGTCCGAGGAGCTGGGCAGGGACATGGCTGGGGACAGAGGGACACGGGGACAGCGGGGGTGTGGGTGGGGAGGTGTGTGACACGTCCCCTCGGAGCCGCCGTGTCCCCGCACCCCGCGCTGTGTCACCCCTGTGTGTGTGTGTGTGTGTGTGTGTGTGTGTGTGTGTCCCTCCGTCCCCGGTCCCAGCGGGACGGCCCGTGTGACACCCCCGAGGGCGCCCGGTGCCCCCCGGTGACGGGGGATTGTCCCCACGAAGGGAGGGGACACCCAAGCCCTGTGTGTCCCCTCCAGTCCCCGCGTGTCCCCTCCAGTGACCGGTCCCTGTGAGTCCCCGTCAGTCCCTGAGTGTCCCCTCCGGTCCCCGTGAGTCCCCGTCAGTCCCTGAGTGTCCCCTCCGGTCCCCGTGAGTCCCTGTCAGTGCCGGTACCTGACCCGGTGCCCCCCATTGACGGGGGATTGTCCCCAAGCAGTGAGGGGACACCCAGTCCCTGCATGTCCCCGTCAGTCCCTGAGTGTCCCCACCGGTCCTGAGTGTCCCCTCCGGTCCCTGTGTGTCCCCTCCGGTCCCTGTGTGTCCCCTCCAGTCCCTGAGTGTCCCCACCGGTCCCCGCGTGTCCCCTCCAGTCCCTGAGTGTCCCTACCGGTCCTGAGTGTCCCCTCCGGTCCCTGAGTGTCCCCACCGGTCCTTGAGTGTCCCACTGGTCCCCGCGTGTCCCTACCGGTCCTGAGTGTCCTCACCGGTCCTGAGTGTCCCCTCCGGTCCCTGTGTGTCCCCTCCAGTCCCTGAGTGTCCCCTCCAGTCCCTGTGTGTCCCCTCCGGTCCCTGTGTGTCCCCACCGGTCCCCGCGTGTCCTCACCGGTCCTGAGTGTCCCCACCGGTCCCCGCGTGTCCCCTCCAGTCCCTGAGTGTCCCTACCGGTCCTGAGTGTCCCCTCCGGTCCCTGAGTGTCCCCACCGGTCCCTGAGTGTCCCCTCCAGTCCCTGAGTGTCCCCACCGGTCCCCGCGTGTCCTCACCGGTCCTGAGTGTCCCCTCCAGTCCCTGAGTGTCCCTACCGGTCCTGAGTGTCCCCACCGGTCCCCGCGTGTCCCCTCCAGTCCTGAGTGTCTCTGCCGGTCCCTGAGTGTCCCCTCCGGTCCCTGAGTGTCCCCACCGGTCCTTGAGTGTCCCACTGGTCCCCGCGTGTCCCTACCGGTCCTGAGTGTCTCTGCCGGTCCCTGAGTGTCCCCTCCGGTCCCTGAGTGTCCCCGCCGGTCCCAGGCAGAGCCCCGTGGAGTTTGAACCTTGAACTTGAGCGAGGCTGTGACAGGCGGGGACAGAGCGCGGGGCGGGGAGGGGACAGATGGCACCGGGGGGGGGGGGGAGGACGGGACAGACACACGGCGCGGGGGGACAAGCGGGGACAGGAGAGGACAGGTATGGCAGGGGGCAGGCAGGGGACAGACGGACACGGGCACAGACTGACACAGAGGTGACAGACAAGGGACAGGCAGGGGACAGACACCCCGTGTCCCCCCAAGCTCCCCGTGTCCCTCCACATCCTCTCGTGTCCCCCCAGGCCCCCCAGGCCCCCCATGGCCCCCCCGTGTCAACCCAAGCCCCCCGTGTCCCTCCACATCCTCTCGTGTCCCCCCAAGCCCCCCATGGCCCCCCCGTGTCAACCCAAGCCCCCAAAGCCCCGCGATGTCCCCTCGTGTCCCCCCCGAGGGGTCGAAGCTGGAGGGGGGGGGGGACACCCCCCAAAAAGGGGAGGGCGTGTCCCCGACCCCACCCTCGCTCCCCATTGGCTGCGCTCGGCTGTCAATCAGCCCCGCCCCTATAAAAGGAGCGGGGTGGGGGGCGCGGGTCCCGCAGAGCGAGAGCGGCCGCGGGCCCGGGAGGACATGAGCGAGGTGGGGGGGCTCGGGGGGCTCGGGGGGGGTCCGCCCAGGTCAGAAAAAAACAGACCGAGGGGGTTTCCCCCTTTTCCCACTGTTTTGAGCGTCTGGGAATGGGAATTGGGGCAGGATGCTGCGGCTGGAGGTTGGGGGGACCCGGGGACGGTGGGGGGGGACCCCGGAGCTCGTGAGTCACCCCCCCGAGCCCCCCTCGGTCCCCAGCACACCCCCCAAGAGCCCCACTCCGGCCGGAGGTTGGGGGGGACCGCGGGGGACAATGGGGGGGGACCTTGGGGACAGCGGAGCCCCCGTGTCACCCCCCCGGCCCCCCTTCTCTCCGCAGCGCAGCCCCCATGACCCCCCCTCGGCGGCGGAGGCCCCCGGCGGGCAGGAGGAAGGTGAGGACCCCCCGACACGCGTGGGGGGCGCCCCGCGGGGTGTCCTGTCACCCGTGTCACCCCTGTCCCCGCCCGGGACCCCCCCCTGTTCTCAGAGCCCCCATGGTCTGTGTCCAGCCAGTGAGGGGGGGGCGTGGGGGCACCGGGATGGATTTGGGGACCTGCTCTGTCCTTCCCTTGTCCTCGGGCTGGGGGGTGACCCTCTGGGAGGTGCCAGGCTGTCCCCTGGGGGGTGGCGATGTCCCCCCTGGATGTACCCGGCGGTCCCTGGGGTGACTCTGGGGGTGCCAGGCTGTCCCTTGGGGGTGCCGGGCTGTCCCCTGAGGGGTGGCGATGTCCCCCCTGGATGTACCCGGTGGTCCCCGGGGTGAGTCTGGGGGTGCCAGTCTGTCCCCTGAGGGGTGGCGATGTCCCCCCCGGATGTACCCGGCGCTCCCCGGGGTGACTCTGGGGGTGCCAGGCTGACCCTTGGGGGTACCAGGTTGTCCCCAGGGCAGCTCCTGTCCTGTCCCCCCCCTCCTTTGCCCCCCGCAGCCAAGACCGGCGACCCCAAGAAGGAGGAGGAGGAGGAGGAGGAGATCGACATCGACCTGAGCGCGCCCGAGACGGAGCGCGCGGCTCTCGCCATCCAGGGGAAATTCCGCAAATTCCAGAAGCGGAAGAAGGAGTCGGGGCCCTGAGGGAGGGGGGTGGTCCCGGGACCCCCAACCCGCGCGGGGACCCCCCCGCCCCCCGTGGGGAGGGTCCCGCCCTGACCCCGCCACGCGACGGCGCCGGGGAGGGGGGTCGAGGCTTCCCGGGACCCCCCCCGGGTGACACGGGGGGTCCGTGGGGGGGCACAGCCGGGTGTCCCCCCGGAGGGGAGGTGGCCCTCGCGCGAGGGGGTGGAAAGAGCCCCTCAGTTCCCCGGGGATCGCCCCGTTTCTGTGATGGCGGGGGGGGGACGACATCGGTGTCCCCAAGCCAGGGGAGCCCCTGACCCGCCCCAGAGGTGGGACCCGCCGCGGGGGGGGGACGGAGACGGAGATGGGTCTCGCCGCAGCCCCCCCCCGGGAAATTTGGGGTCCCCCATCCCCTCCCCACCCTCCTGTCACTGTCCCCCCCCTCCCCCGGAGGGGCTTTTTTAGCACGTCAGAGAATAAACTGTGAGGAAGAGGAGGGTGGGGTGTGGTTTTGGGGGGATTTGGGGAGGGGACCCCACCGGGAGGGACCCTCCGAGGTCCCCCTTATGCCCGGCGTGGGGTGGGGGGTGTGGACCCCCCATTAAATCAGCCCCGGGGGTCCCTGGGGCGAGGCTGTCCCTGTTGAGGGGGGGGATTTCCCCCAATCCCCCCTTGTTTGGGAACGGCTCCATCACCCCCAAATCTCCCGTCACGCCCCGATTTGGGGCTTTTCCAACGGGATTCCCGTTAATTGATCACCCGCAGGGTCTCAGCCCCCCCCCGGGGGAGCCGAGAGCGGCCGGGGACTAAAGAAAAGTGGTGGTGGGGAGGTTGTAAAATTAAGCGACTTTCGGGAATTTTTACACCCGAATTCCAGGGGATTTTTGCCCGCAGGGGGGCTCGGGAATGGCGGGATCCGGCGGGGAGACCCAGAAATAGCTCCTTGGAAAGAAAAACAGTGGCCGTGGGCAGGGCCCAGGGGACGCGGCGGGGTCGGGCTGCACAGACTTATTAGGGAAAGGACAATTATCCCCGGGGGGGGAGGGAGCTCCATCCCGGTTTTCCATGTGGGAGCCAGAATTCCCAGTCTGCTCCAGTGCACGGGCAGCCCGTGTCCAAATTGTACCCCCCCCCGGGAACCTGAGCCTTGGCCTCGGTGTTAATTAAATGAGCTTTAATTAACGGCTGATGGGAGAAGGGGGGGGGCTCGGGGCAGCTCCCCCGGCTGAGGGGGGGTCCCAGCGGTGCCACCAGGTCGCCCTCGAGCCACCGCGTCCCCCTTTGAGGGTCCCGGCGACGTCCCGTGGGAGCTCCGTGCGATGAGTTCGTGAGGGCTCAGCCCATCCCAGACCCGCCCCCCCCCCCAAAACAGTGACAGTCCGGGGGGGGACACACACGGGGGGTCCCGGAGATGTCAGTTTTATTAATGGCACCGCGGGGACACGGAGGGGACAAGGACAGGGCGTAGAAAAACACGTCGAGGGGGGGGAGCGGTGCCGGAGCGCGGGGGGGGTGGGGGGGTGGGTGGGCACGGGCAGAGCCCCCCGCCCGGCCGCAGCCTCGCCTCCCCCCACGGGGCTCCGGTCGGCTTTGGGGGGGGGGTTATGGGCCGGGGGGGTTAATGGGGGCGACAGGAGGGGGACAAAGGCGACGGGGCGGGGGCCACCCCGCGACGTCATTCGGGGTCGGTCGCGGGGAGAGACGAGAAAACGGCCAGAAAAGGAGGAAAACCGGGGGAAAAAAAGAGACACTCACCCCCCCGGGCGGGTGACAGGGGTGACACGGTCCCCCGGGGAGGGGGGACCGCCCCCCAAAATCCGGTGGTGGCTTTGTGTTCCGAGAGAGAGGAATTCCCTCCGCGCAGGGACGGCACCGCCCGAGGGGCTGAGGGGCGGCGCGGGGGGGGACCCCCGGCGTGTCCCCAAAACCGGGGGGGGGGGGCCCGCGGCGAGGACCACACCCCGCTCCTCGCCGGGTCCCGAGCCGGGGGTGCGAGGGGGGTAGGGGGGGGCTCATGTCCCCCCCGAATTGGGCTTGAGGATGTTCCTGAGGGCGCTGCCGAGGCTGCCCTTGCTGGGGGAGCGGGCGGGGGGCGGGGGGGCGGCGGCGGCCTCGGCCTTCCCCTCCCCCCGCAGCTCCATCTCGATGGTCATGATGACTTTGGGGGGGGGTCTCCGGGGGTCCCCGGCGCCCGCCCCGGGGGGCCCCTCGGTGCCCTTCTCCAACCGCTATTTCTTATCCTTGCGGGAGTCTCCCGGCGCGCCCTTGGATTTCTTGGCGCCGCGGCCGTGGTCCAGCATGGCATAGAGCACGGGGGCCTGCGGGGACACGGGGGGGGCTTCACCTCCCACCCCAAAGGGAGCAGGGGGTCCCCCCCGGCCGCCCCCCGACCCCTGGGCGCTCACCTGGCGGCTGCGCTTGGAGCCGTCTTTGCCCGAGCGCTGCAGCTTCCCCTTTTCCATGGCGCTGGAATTTGGGGGAGAAGGAAGAAAAAAAAAAAGGGAGGAAAGAGAGGTTCAAGGGGTGTGTGGCGGGATTGCCCCCGAGTTTTGGGGGGTGCGGGGGGTCGGGGCTCACCTCAGGCGCCGCTGCAGGACCGCCTGGCGCCGCAGCCAGCAGAAGCGGATGGCATAGCCCAGGGCCACCAGCACGGCCACCAGGAGCAGCCCCCCGCCGATCACCGAGCCCAGCACGACGCCGTAGCGGGTGGGCACTGCGGGGACAGGGGCACCGTGTCACCCCTCGGCAGCGGGGAGGGGACATTGGCACCGGATTACCCCCGGCAGCGGGCAGGGGACAGTGGCACCGCGTCACCCCCAACAGTGGGTGGGCACTGAGGGGACAGGGGCACCGTGTCACCCCCGGCAGCGGGGAGGGGACATTGGCACCGTGTCACCCCCAACAGTGGGTGGGCACTGAGGGGACAGCGGCACCGTGTCACCCCCGGCAGAGGGTGGGCACTGAGGGGACATTGTCACCGTGTCCCCCCGCTGTCAGGGTGGCAGGGAGGGGACATTGTCACCGTGTCCCCCCGCTGTCGGCGGGGCCGGGAGGGCCCCCCATTGGCCCCGTACCTTTCTCGAGGACGTAGAGGGTGACCTGCGAGGACTTGCCCACGATGTCCGGGGGGTTCTTGACGTCGCAGGTGAAGGTGCCGTTGTCGGTGGGCTCCAGGCTGTGGATGGCGATGGATCCATCCTTGCGCCGGGGGTTCCCGACCCATTCCATGCGCTCCTTGAAGCTCCCGACGTCATCGATGTAGGGCTGGCCCTTGGCGTAGTGGAAGATCTGCCCGGGGGACAGCGACAGCGGTGACATCGCGCTGGGGGGGGGGTGGAGGGTGGCAGGGTGACCCCACCCCTGCCCTGCCCCGGAGAGGGGGCATCACGAAGGGGCTGCCACGGGAGCGCTGGGGATGCTCGTGGAGGTGTCCCCAGGGTGCCACCGCGGTGTGGGGGACATCGTGTCACCCGCAGGGAGGGGACCGTCCTGCTGGGGCTGGGACACGGCAGGGGCTGGGGACACGTTGGGGACACCCCAGGGTCACCACGGTGTGGGGGACACGGTGTCACCCGTAGGGAAGGGACTGTCCTGTTGGGGCTGGGGACACTGTGGGGACACCATGGGGACACCCCAGTGTCACCAAAGAGCAAGGGGACACAACTGGCACTGAGATCTGGCGGGCACTGGGACAAGGGAACATCATGGGGACACCCCGGGGTCACCAGAGTGTGAGGGGACGTGGTGAGGGGTCACCTGCAGGGAAGGGACCGTCCCCTGGGGCTGGAGCTGGGACACGGCGGGCACTGGGGCTGGGGACACGTTGGGGACGCCCCAGTGTCACAACGGTGTTGGGGACACGGTGTTACCAGCAGGGAAGGGACAGTGCTCTGGGGCTGGGACACGGCGGGCACTGGAGACACGTCGGGAACGCGGTGGGGACGCGGTGGGGACAGCTGGGGACAGTTGGGGACAGTTGGGGACAGCTGGGGGCACTCACGGAGATGCTGTCGCGGGATCCCTCGGCCTGGAAGTGCCAGGTGATGGAAATGTCCTCGGAGATCCACTCGCTGGACCAGAAGCTGCAGGACAGGGTGACCCGCGAGCCCACGGTGCCGAACACCTCCCGCGGCGTGTACACGTGGATCGGCGACACCGGCGACACTCCTGGGGGGGGGGGGCACACGCCCGTCACACCCCGTCACACCCCACCCACCCCCGCGCCACGGGAGGTGTCACCAAAGCGCGGGCAGGGAGGGGACACAGCGGCGGTGTCCCCACGGCTGGCTCGGAGGGGACAGTGTCCCGCTGGCCGGTGACACGGGCAGGGCTGGCACCAGCACCCCCCGCGTCTGTCCCCAGGGAGGGGACAGGCACTGGGACCTTCCCGGCAGCGCGGTGACAGTGTCACACCCCCCCCCAGGTGTCCCCAGGGTGGTGCCAGGTACCCCAACCCCCCCCTCCCCCGTGTCCCCAGGGAGGTGACAGTTGCTGGGACCTTCTATGCCAGAGCTCGGTGGCACCGGCAGGGCTGGGTGTGGCACCTCCCATCTGTCCCCAGGGAGGTGACAAGTGAGGGGCCCGTCACCCAGCACCCCCCCTCTCGTGTCCCCAAGGACGGGACAGGCGCCGGGACCCTCCTGGCAGCGCGGTGACAGTGTCACCCCCCCTCGGTGTCCCCAGGGTGGTGCCCCAGCCCCCCCCCCCCCCCGTTCCTAGGACGGTGACAGGTGCCCCAACACCACCCCCCCCCCCGTGTCCCCAGGGAGGTGACAGGAGCCGGGACCCTCCTGGCAGCGCGGTGACAGCGGCAGGGCCGGGTGTGGCACCTCCCAGGTGTCCCCAGGGAGGTGCCAGGCACTGGGACCCTCCTGGCATTGCGGTGACAGTGTCACCCCCCCCAGGTGTCCCCAGGGAGGTGCCAGGCACTGGGACCCTCCTGGCATTGCGGTGACAGTGTCACCCCCCCCAGGTGTCCCCAGGGAGGTGCCAGGCACTGGGACCCTCCTGGCATTGCGGTGACAGTGTCACCCCCCCCAGCTGTCCCCAGGGAGGTGCCAGGCACTGGGACCCTCCTGGCATTGCGGTGACAGTGTCACCCCCCCCCAGGTGTCCCCAGGGAGGTGCCAGGCGCTCCCCGCAGCGCGGTGACAGTGCCACCCCGCGCGGTGACAGCGCCACACGCCCGCGCCCCCATGCCCGGCTGGGGGGACAGTCCCCAACCCCCGCGGGGGTGGCCCCCGGCCCCACGACCACCCCCCAAAAAAAGGGTCCGGCAACACCCCCCCAGCCCGCTTTGGGCACCCTGTCCCCTGTCCCCGTGGCCGCCTCACCCAGCGCCGCGACGAGCCCGGCGAGCAGCAGGAGGCGGCGGGTGGCCCGCGGGGACATGGTGGCCCGTCACGGAGGGGACACGGGCACGGGCGCGGGGTTTTAGGGTGGCCCCGCGGCGGCTGCACCCCCAAAGCCCGGCCAATGGGCGCCGGCGGCGGGGGGGGCCCCGGGGGGGCGCTCAAAGGGGACATTTAGGGCCGGGAGGGGGACGGCGACACTGTGGCC